TTGTAGTCTTAATCTATAAATCCTTCTAAAAATTCCTTCCCACCATATCTCCAAGTTTTCTCATCTCTCTAGAAGTCAGAAGACTTCTAAAACTCTTCAGATATACACTTTGTTTCCTCTTCACCCCAGATGAGAATAAGATTCCAGCATTACCAGCCATCCATGCCCCATTTTATGAGATAATTGCTCTTTTTTACTTTTACTTTTTCCTACCCAATTTTATTTTGTAGAATTACCCCATCATACACAACTCAGCCCCAATCTTTCTTTCAAACTATGTTGGTAATGATAACAGTTTTAAGAATACCGATAACATTTTCATTGATCATAAGTAAACAGTTTGACCTTTATCAGTGCTTTATAATTAGTCTTTAATGATTTCTTTATATTTCTTCTGGATCTTTTATATTGAATTTTCCATTGCATTCTGGTCTTTTTGTTACAAATACCTAAAGATTTTTCAGATCATCCACTTTTTTTTTTCCATTCAGGATTATACTCAACTTGGCTGGGTAAGTTATTCTTAGATGCAACCCCAGCTCCTTTACTCTTTGAAATAGAATGTTCCAAGACCTACAATTTTGTAGTATAGAAGCTGCTATGTCTTGTGAAATCCTGACTTTTCCACAGTATTTAAAGTGTTTTTTTCTTGTTGTTTACATTATTTTTTCTTTAATTTGGGAATTTTGAAACTTGCCTATGACATTCCTATATGTTTTCTTCCTGGGGTCTCTTTCATGTGGTGAATGGTAGATTTTTTTTCTATTTCTATTTTACTCTCTTGTTCTAGAACTTCAGGGCAATTTTCCTTAATAACTCCTTCTAATATTGTATCAAGATTCTCTTCTGATCATAACTTTCAGGTAGTTCCACAATTCTTATATTGTCTCTTCTTGTATTTCTTATATTATATAATACAATCCTTATATCATATAATACAATCCTAGTTGTTTTTCTAATGAGATGTTTCAGACTCTCTTCTATTTTTTTCTAGTTTTGTTATTTCTTGGTGTTTTATAATGTCATTCAAATACACTTGCCCAATTCTAGTTTTTAAGAAGTTATTTTCTTCTTTAAGATTTTGTATCTATTTTTCCAATTGGTTAACTTTCTTTCCATAATTTTCTTGGATGGCTTTAAAAAATTTTTTGAATTCCCTTTTAACTTCTTCCAATGATTATTTTTAAGTTTGTGACCATTTGGCATTAGTCTTTGGGGTAAGAGTGTTTTTTTTTTCAACCTTACTATTTACTCTGAATATGAACCCAGATCTTCTTTAACAGCAAAGTAGCTATCTGTGCTTGAGTTCTTTTTCTTTTACTTACTCATTTTTATTTTTTAATTTTATTTTTTAGCAGCTAAATATCATCATCATCATCATCATCACCACATCAAGTTTTCATCCCTAATTGTGGGTAATGTTGCCCCAGGCTTCAGATCCTTCTTACTGTTGTTTTCTGATTTCTGTCCTGGAGGCTCAGCCTCAAGGACTCCTCTCCTCCTTCCTTAAAGTCACAGTTAGAGTTCCAGGCGTGCTGGAAAAAGACTGGATACCTTCAAGCTTTCAAAGGGGTATGACCCAGGACAAAGACTGATTGTTGCTCCACTAATCTGAGCTCTGTAATTTCATGACCTGGCTTTGGGTTTGAGGAAGATTTGCTCTACTCAGGCTCTATCAGCCAACTGAAAAGCTCTGTTAAATTAGAGGCAGAATTGTAGGCTATACTTTGTCCTAGAATTTCTGTCCTGATTATTTTTTTGCAGATTGGTCTAGATGCTGGAAGTGAGATTCTGCTCTGCTCCTGAGGTCTGAGCCATACTGCTGCTACTGCTGCTGGTCCCATTTCCTCATTTTTAAAGGTAAGAAACTGAGGCCCAGTGAGGGGCTTTGTCCAAGGACTTGTCCAAGGTCATATGGGTACAATAGAAGTGGGATTTGAGCCCAGGTCTTCCTAATTCCAAGACCAGCAGCCTTCTATTCACTCCCATATACTGTCTCTAAATGTCAGTATCTTATTTAATAAATAAATTGCAATTTTCTTTTAATATTGAAACATATATCAATCAGAGGTGTTAAGTGTTTGCTGAAAATTAATATTATACATGTGATTTGGAAATTTTACTGTCAGTAGACATTTTTAACTTTCAGAAATTTTATGTTGACTTTTTATGTTTTAAAATATATAACAGCTGTTAGGAGTCAATACAACTTATTGGTACCTTTTCAGTCAAAAGCTGCCAGTGATTCTCAAAGCAATTAATGTTTGAATGTGATAATCATTTTATTTCTCCCTTAAAAATGAAAAGGCACTTGCAGTTTTCTTACATTTGAAAGCATCACAATCCAGCTTAGCTATTCAGTACAGATAACTTGCTCAAATGTCTCCTTTTGTGGTATAATTTTAAAATTAAAAAAATAGTTTTGAGTATTAGTTTTAGTCACATGTAATGGGCTTATTGTTGACCCATTGTCATTAAGATGTGTGATTTTCTAGTCTTGAAGAGTGGCCAGTATGCTATTAGGCACAGATTATTTTAAGGTTGAGAAGCAATTTTGGAACTCCATAAGGACAGTGACTGAACCCTTATATTCTGGGTGATCATTCTTCCAGTGCTAAATATTGCTTCCATTATTTATGCAGTCCACTGGTAGGTGCTCAAGAGTAATAAGTTTCTAAATTAAGCCAATAACACAAGTCCTTCTCATTGGAAAACTTGTCAACTCAGTGACAAAAATCAGTCAAACTGGTGGCTTTACTGAGTTAACCCATGTAGTCTTTTGAGAGACTGTATAACAGGTCAAGTATTCCTTGCACTTAAAAGGTTACCAGTATTCAAAAAAATCACTGCCTTGTTAGTAATGCATATCAATTAATTATATGACATTATTGGACTATATACAGTTAATAAAATCTTGAATAAATTGCAGCATATTTCATTATCAATTTTTATTTCCTACCATACACCAAATGTACAGCACAGAACACAATTTTGTTGCTTTGATGTAAGAAATATTAATTGTATGAAGAAACAGTATACAAACTACTCCAAATTAAAAAAATGCATACATTGTTGCTTTTTTTTTTTTTTTACAAAAGGCCTAATTTACAGTATAGCTCATCAATGGAGTGGAACAGAAAAAAAAATCAGTGCACGTTACAAAACACATCAAGTACAAAGGAAGCAAATAAATACAAATATACTTCACAAAACATCCTGAGCAAACAATTCAAACACAGATAAATTAACCTGAAGCCAAAGAAAATCATAGTAATAAATACATAGGTTGGTAAGAGATTTCTTTTAAATTAAATAAAATATATAAGAAATTTGTTAAAATATTTAGTTAATTAAATTTCAGTCTCTGTCATGAGTGAACTCATTTTGTATGCATTCAACAAGTACTGTGGAGCAAATATGTTTGCAAGGACAATAATTTTCAAAGCAGATTCTGTTTGGTGTCCCGTGTATATTAGACAGCACATATGGTAGCTTCTTTTTCAAACTGATTTCAAAATAAACACAGCTCCTACCTAAGAACATACATCTTATTTTCACTAAACTTAGATTTGAGGCTTTCAATGAGCCCCCACCCAAAAGTAAAGCCCCACTTAATGCAGAACAATAACCACAGTGCATGAGAGTAGAATTACCTTTGAATATTACTTTCATTTTGTGCAGTTAACAGTAATAATAGTGGCATATATCAAGCCTGTGAATGCCATCACATTCAGTCTAAATAGAAATGAGGCTAATAAAAAATAAACACTTTTGTTGTAGCACAGAAAATTAAGCACACGCCAAGTCCATGTATACATTTACACTGAGGCACATCTGCACATGAGGTGTGTGTGCATACCAAAAAGGCAGTTTAGCTGGTTGTCTATACCTTTTTCTTAAAAAAAATAAATATAAAAAAACTTTTGAAACAATGTTTAATTACTTACAATCCCTGAAATAGACATTGCCTTTGTTATAGCAACTACTAAACTCTGATCCATTCAGAAATTCATAATCCAGGCTAACTAACACACACACACATCCTGGGGTGCTTGGGCATGTGTATGATAACACTTGGTGCCCCATGGAAAGACTGGCAACAGGTTCATAGTTGTCTTGTTTCCTAAGGATGGGTGAAACCTCTCATTGTGTTGCTATGATTTGGATTATGAACAGAAAAAAACAAATACAAAACCAAAAACAAACCCAACCTGCAACTAGATTGGAATCAGATATTTGCCTCTGTTGCTGCATTTTTTTTGCTCTTTTGAGTCAAACCAGTATGCTAAAGGCTATTTCAGGGGAAATTGGTATCTACAGATCTTTTCATTTGGATGCTTTTGTATTTTCTGAGTACAAATCTTCATCGGTCTTGTCCCTTGTATATCTATCTCACCAACTTGTGGTACTAACACCTGCCTGGTCATTAAGCCTTCTTGCCTAGGGATAAGAGTTGTCAACTATCTGAGATGACTTCAAAAACAAAACAAAACAAAAACAGCTATATCATTAAAATAATTATTTGAATTTCTTTAAAATATTTCAAATCACAAGGGTACATGTAGACTAAAAACCACACAGCCATGTCAAATGCTTTGCTGATTGCTATATTTCATTATTGCTAACGTGCTGGTTTCCAGCATACTGTGCTTTTTAGGAGTGCGAGTTTCCCCACCAGTGGGCAGCATTTCTCTTTTCACTCTTTCCTCCTGCCGTCTCATAATGACCTCAAACTCTTTCCCAGTACAAAGTCATTGAAAAGTAAGCAGTATGCAATGAAAATCAAACTAGACCACAGACCACTCCTTTAGGTAACTGGTTCTTTCACACATTTTTTTTATGTTTATTTTTCCATACAAACCCAGCAAGTTATTAAGTTTACAGAGTAACTTTTCAGTCTATTTAAAATCCCATTGGAAAATAAATTAATAAACACATTTGTAAAAATATGGCAGGCTGTAAAATGCTGTTAAGATAAAAAAAATCTTTGATTAGAAATAAATAAAAAATATAAAAAATAGTCACACACACTTTTTACATATGCTTTACATAAAAAAAGTGCAAAGAAAGGAACAAAAGACATACATAGTAAAATAAATAAAGAATACTAATCGAGTGCATTGCTGTTAACCCAAATAGTCGATCATGTTTTTCTTTCCTTTTTATGTCAGCTGGGAAAAAAAAATAGTGCAATGTTGCAATTGTAAATGCAGCACGGCAACCTATACGCCTTAGCAGTACACGAACCCCTAACAGATCCATCTGGAGTTGACTGCTGTCAGTAATTTCTGTTGCCCGGCAGCTCTCACATCCTACACATGGATACCCTTCACTGCCTGTTTGATACTTTCCAGCAGAGCTTTGCATTCCGGGGAATAGTCCCGCTCCAGATTGCTGTACATGTCTGTGAGTGTATTTACATATGCTTCGAAATTCTGCTCACTGATTGGTCCCTGAATGAAGACAAACATATTATACCAGTCACAGAAGCTCAGACTGATTCTCAAGGTATGCTAAATAAGGGTAACAGTGAAGCAATAATCTAGGCTAGTGAAGTGGGAAGCCTAAGGTCACTGGGATTGGCAGAGACCCAAATTACCATTAGGAATTTAGGGGAGAGGAAGAGTGATTGGATGTGTGGTGGGACTCATCTGCTCATTTTACACTGGGAGAGGGGGCCTTAATTGGATTAATGTAACTTGATTGTATGGTAAAGTACATTGTTGGCCAATTTAGAGTAGCAAGATGTGGCTGGCTACTGGACTGATTTTTCGAAACAGAAAACAGGCATGATAGGCATCCTTGAAATAAGCTGTAAAAAAAGACAGGGGAGTTCCTCCCAACAAAAAGGGTAAAATTTTTGATCTTAAGACTTACCATTTTTAGAGGCCAAAAATGAGGGCTTATCTTAGACCAGCCAGCTTCTTCAACAGTTCATGGCTGGGGGCCAGGAGAATTAGGTGTCATTCCATCTTTTCTACTAACTAGCTGGGTGACAGTTGACAGAGTATTTAACCTACCTTGCTTCAGTTTCCCCACATGCTAAATGAGACACATGCTCTATCTATTTTCCACAGTTTAAGGATCAAATGAGATAACAGATGTGTAAGTAATTTGAAAGGCAAAATATCACACTATTGTAAGGTTTTATTATCATTATTACTATTATCATGTTCCAGAGAAGCAAAGCTTTCTTAACTCTTGAGAGACTGATGGTTGCGTGTCTAGATAAAGTAGATAAGTATAATTAGTGTTTTGTATTAATAAATCTCCAATCTCTGCTTCATCCAGTCTTTGGTATCAGTGTACTGAGTTATTCTTAGAAAATCACTCAACCTCCCTATGCTTGCTTGTGTTCCTCACTTAGAAAGTGGAGATAGTTATAATTATTTGTAGAGCATTTAAAAAGTCAGAGATTAAATAAACTACATAGGACTCTTACTACTTTAAGTAAATTACTTTGACCATGGAGTGTGTATAAAAAGAAAGGAGGGAATAAAAATCTGAAATAGGATTAGTGGCATAGTTAATAAATGATACTGCAAAAGAAAAGAGAAGAAAAATCAGGAACTATTTTAAAGATGGTCAGAAATTAAAAGTTTCTTTCCTTTATAGTAACACTCCTCTCCCCCCTCCGCCCCCTTTTTGGATCAAGGGATATCTTTACTATAGCTTATAAGGATTTTATATAAAGAGTGTCATCTTATAATTGGTCAACGAGAAGGTTACATTCTAGATACAAGTAAATTTGGAGTTGATTCTTTTCCCTTTTAAAATGGGGGAAAATTCAAAATCCTTTGATTCTCTAGTTAGGCTGTTCTTTTCTATCCTAGACCTTTTTCAAAGGAGGTTGAAAAAATGGTTTCAGGGAAGGCATTCTGACAGGTAAACACTGGCATATATGAGCCACTGAGCATTTAAAAAAGAGATATATTCATATCTATATCAACATATATATATATATATATATATATATATACACACACATACTGCTTTAAATATGTAGCCTTAAAATATATTAAATTTATGTTAACATATGAATAATTAAATTAATTAATATTATATATATAGTTTCCTCCCTCCACCTTTTTTTAACCTCATTATATTTGCATACTGCCCCTTGAATTTTGTAATGAAGAAGATTCACAGGTTAATTATTTTTCTACAGAGCTTCATAATTGTTATGTTTTAAATGTTTACTGCAGACACAGGCTTGATTTGGGATGTCAGGAAGTTCAATAACTAACTAATTGGTAGGCTGAAAAGCTTAAGTACCTAAGTACTTTTATCTGGTGAGTTTTATAAATAGAAGAAAAGGAAGTGTTTTGCTTTTCCATTAGCTTCTTTCTTAAACTCCTTTAGGTCAGTGCGTAGGACTCTTCTATTTCTGCTTGGGCTAGTTAAAAGAAACAAGTCTTAGATCTCCTGTGTGGTGCTGGAAGCAAAGGAATATATGTTACAAGAAAAATTTCTGAGGAAACTGTCACTTCCTGGCTGCTTGCCAAATGCATCAGCTATGTCTTAGAGAAGTTAAGTAGCTGTAGATTGTTTTGAAGTATCCAATTTGAAGACAACATTCATAGAATTTTGACTTCCTGTTGTGATTTTTCAGGTAGAATCTATGTTAGAGAATCATTTTCCTTGGATTGAAGTTGTAAGTGTTTTCATTGCTGAAGGAAGAGCCGCTGGCAGTACTGTATTGTGTCCATGTTATTTAATAAAAAAGGAATAATCTCAAACTTTCCTATCACTCCCTAGAATTCTGCTTACCATTCAATGAAACATTTCCTTTTCAGCTTGTACATTCTATTTTAAAAATTAGCTTCACATGATCTCATTCACTGAAGAGGTATTTTTTTTTTCCTGGTGTCAGAAAACTTTAACCTTGATAATATTTATAACAATAGGTATTTATCAGGTTCACACTGAGAGGGATTAATGGAGGGTGAGAAAATTATGAAAATGTGTTCAGTAGCTCTCTGATTACTGAACTGGATTCCTGAAAGCTGAAATGTTGCTCAGAGGCAGCCCTGTCCTTAATTGTGAAATAACATTGTTGATGCCTCTGACAATGGAGAAGGCAAAGTTTGGGGGCTTATACTTACCATCTGTGGAAGCTGAATGTCGGCAAGACTTGAGATGAGGGCTTGGCTCAGGCCAGCCAGCTCCTTCAACAGGCTCTCATTGTTCTGTTCAATAAGTTTGTTTTCTTCTTCTATTGTTTTTAAATTGCTCTCCATAGATGTGATCTAAAATGGAAATAACTTGACCGGATGAGAAGTTGCAGCTTGAAAGGAACACATAAAGTTTGTCTCCAATGAGAAAAAGTGTTAGATTATAATGGGTGCCAAGATATATTTAAACCGTAGCTACAGATTGTAAAAGACATCTACCACTTGCATCACACTCCTGTAAAAGCTCAAGATAGGGCAACATAGTTACTTTATTTCTAAACTAACCTACTGCTATTACACACAAATCACATTTAACAAATTTGAGACTGTGTCCTGCTGTGTAGGTGAGCATAATCTTGATTTCAGATAGATCAAACTCCCAATTTCCAAAATGCTGGACAGGTGGGGTTATAAGAAAAACAGAGGTGAGAGGAGGGAGAAAAGCAACTGTTAATGTATTCTTCCTTATTGCTTTTTCTGGTGACCCTTCTGATTTGTTATAGGCAATAGTGCTAAAAATTCTGGGTAAGGCTTCTATTTCTAAATTGGAAGAAGGTAGCTATAGGGTACTTGGTACAAGTACAACAAATACAACAACAATAATAGCAGCTAGCATTTATATAGCATTCTAAGGTTATAAATAGTATTTATGCTTCAAGAGGTAGCTAAGTGGTATGGGATAGATCTGGAGTCACAAAACACAAGAGTTCAAATTTGGCCTCAAACACGTATCAGCTGTGTGTCCCTGGGCAAGGTCCTTAACCTTTCTCTATGTCAGTTTCCTCAACTGCAAAATGGGGATAATAGAATCTACCTCCCAGTGTTGTTGAGAGGATCAAATGAGATAATATTTGTAAAGTGCCTAGACATAAAGCACCTGATACATAATAGGTGCTTAATAAATGCTTGTTTCCCCCTTATTTTATCCTCATAATAACTGTGGGAAGTAGGTGCTGTTATTATTTCCATTTTATAGATGAGAAACTGAGGCGGGGAAAGTTAAATGCCTTGTCCCAGCTATGCTAGCAAGCATAGGAGGATGAATTCAAACTCAGGTCTTCCTAACTCCAGGTCCAGTGCTCTATCCAATGCACAACCTAACTGCCTTTGGACAATGGGTAGGAAACATATGGGACTAAGTGGTAATATGTGATTGTATGGGCAGGAAATCTAAATTTGAGAATCTGAACTGAGAACGGTTTCAATTCAAAGTGAAGTCAATATTAAACAACTATTATTGACATACTGTGTGATATAATAAAAAGAGGACCCTTGGAGTCAGTTGACATGTTCAAAATCTGGTATGAACATGTGCAGGTCATTTACTTCTGTTGAATTTCAGTAAACTTGTCTGGGAAATGAGTGCTGTATGATAATGCTTTTACTTTCTACCTGAAAAGATTGTTGTGAATAAAAAAAAAAAGGTCTTTTAGGAGAGGGACTGTTTTCTTTCCATCAGCATTGTCTCCTAAAATGTCTGGCACACAGTAGGTGCTTGTTGAATTGAATTGCTTTGCAATGATTTTGTAAACATTAAAACATAACTTTTATTATTATTGTTCTGTAAAAGAATTGTGCAAGGGTCTGAGAGAGATACAAAATTTGGATAAGATACTATCTCTGCTTTCATAGAGCACAGAAACTCAGGTTTATTTTATTTTCCCTATGAAATCATGTCATAGTCACAGAAATGTTATTTTGTAGAGGAAATTATTTAAAAGGAGAAATATAAAGAATTCATTGAAGGACTAAGCAACATCAAATGAGACAGCATATTTGTACATATTAGAGATAAAAGGATGATAATAGGATAGTAGGAGAATTTGTTCCTTCCAGCAACCCCACGTGTTAAGTAAGGCAAGCATTATTACCCACTGCTTATAGAAAAGAGGAGATATGAAGTGATTTGCCCTTTGTCACAGGGCAAAATTAAGATTAGATCCAGGTCTTTTGACTTCAAATTCCATGCTCTTTCTTGTTTTCATGTTATCTCTCATAATCAAAGATCAGGTCAGAAAATAGATGCTTTTCCATTTTTTAAAACATTTGCCTGAAGTATGAAATTTTAAATGTAGTAGTCAAAACCCTAATTTACTAATATGCTTATTTTGGTGTTCAGATATTTGTACTCTGATTCCTTTGGAGAATATACTAAGTCTCTTTATGTTAATTCTTTTTAAAAGATTTTTTAAAAACATTTTACCTGGGTCTGGAGTTTCATCATGTCTGCTTCAATTTTAAGGTTGGATTCATTCAGTTCCTTTATTTCCTCATCCAAATGCCTAATTTCCTCATCACTCTCTAAACCTGTGAAGAGGCAGACAGTTTAAGGTGAGAGCAGAAATGTGCACACATGAAGCTATCTGACCAATATAAAACCAGGCAAACCTAAAATACAGGCATTCCCAGCGCAACTTCGCATCTTAATGGGAACTGGTAAGTTTTGATAGGAAAAACAATGACATTATACATGTATCTGGGAAGTGGGTGGTATTGGGCAATATGAGTTGGATGATTTATTTTTCTTTGTAAGAAGTTTAGCACACTCTCAGGCATCGAAAATTGTCAGGAAAAAAAGTATTCTGGCTAATGGAAGTTTTAGTTAACCTAATGGTATATCATCTTACACAGATGATTAATTTTTAAATACTTTTAACATTGGACTGTGTTGGACATAATTTAATATTCAAAGATTCCAAAGGTATTTTAGGACCTTGCAGGACTTCAGAATTGTCATTGTGAACATTTACTCCTTTACACAACCACAGATTTGTTGACTGGGCTGAATCTTCTCAGACCATAGTACCTACCCTCTAACTTTAATTAGTAATACTTATTTAACTTGATCTGATTGTTCTAGGTTACAACTTTTGCTCATCTACAGAGGTTCTGGGCACTGATTTAAAGCTCAACTTCTTTAAACGTTGCTTGTTGAAAGTATGTAAATTTGGTATGTTTATTCATCATTTGTTTTATCTTGGTTCCCTCTCTCCACCCTAAAGGAGACTGAGGAATTTTGCTCCTCAAAAGAATCTGGTTAATTGAGCTTCTTGGTTCTCTAAGATCTGGATAAATATGAGCTTACTGTCTCCCTGAAGTTAATTTCAGGAAGACTGAGATATTTTGTTGCTGTTGTTTTTTGGTGAGGTAATAGGGGTTAAGTCACTTGCCCAGGGTCACACAGCTAGTAAGTGTTAAGTATGTGAGGTCAGATTTGAACTCAGGTCCTCCTGACTCCAAGGCCAGAGCTATATCATTGTGCCACCTAGCGGCTCCTGAGACTCAGTTATTTTAAGACATATAGTCTAAGTTCTTTAGCTTGATGTTCAATCTACCTGGCCCCAAACTCCCTTTCCAACTTGATCCACACTACTTGTAACAAAACTGAGGTTCTCTACATTCACTGTTTATATTCAGAAGGTTTGTTATGTTTAAAAGCATCATTAAAAAGCAATAGAAAAAAGTTCTTTGTAAATGTTTTTTTTTCTGAAATAGGATGATAAAAGCCAACCAAACAAAAACCCCACAACTGTTAGCAGTTGCATTTTAGTAAAGAATCGTATAGTGTATTAATTAATCATTTATTAGAAGGGAAGTAGAAGTAAAAGATGGGAGGCACATAGAAGAATGACTATGACCTGGCTAATGAAAGAGTTTGCTAGGTAATCACAATGAGGTATGAAAACATAGGATTTAAGGAGGACATCTAGGAGCTGCCTACCAGCAGAAGTATTTCTTTTATCGGCTGAAATTAGGGATAGCAGTGAGATGGGAAGCAGTGAGAACAAGACTGCAAGGGTATTTTTAAGAACGCAGGCTGAATGTAGCAGAAAAATATCATTTAAAAGATGTATCCTTCATAAAAGTACCTCTTCATGGCATGGAACTTTAGTGACTCACCATTGTCTTGGGTTAGAATACAAATACTTTTTTTTTTTTGGCATTTAATGCCCTTCCCAATCTGGCTTCAGTTTATCTCTTCAGGCTGATGACATATTACTTCCTTTGTGAACTTTCTGCTCCAATCAAATTAGCTTATTTGCTTTTCCCCATTCAATTATATCCCTTCTGTAGGAATCTTCTTTTTCCTCTGTTCCACTTCTTGGAAACATCACCCACTTGCTCCCATCGCCTTATGTCAGCTACCTTTAAGTTCATGTCAATTCTTTCAAGAAGCTTTTCCTGATAGTTAGCAACACCCCCCCCATTATTATGTATTATTTTGCATATATCTTGTATTTACTTATCTGTGAACACATTGTATTCTTCCAGGAGACTATATGCTCCTCAAGGGCACTATAGTAATATCATACCCTCTTTGGTGGCACTATGGATAGAGTGCCAGGTCTGGAGTCTAGAAGACCTGAGTTCAAATGTGACTTTAGATATGTACTAGCTGTGTAATCTTGACAAGTCACTTAACTTTTGTTTGCCTCAGTTTCCTTATCCACAAAATGAGGATACTAATAACTTACCTCTCAAAGTTGTTTCAAGGATAAAATGAGATAACAATTGTAAAGTGCTCAGTATAGTATCTGACACACAGTTAAGTGCTATATAAATGTTAGTTGCAGTTATTATCATTATCCCTAGTTCCAGAGCAGTGCCGATTGTTGAACAAATGATTGTTGATGGATTGATGGATTCTTGAAGGCTTTGGTAGTGGAACACAACCTACAATAAATCCTTCTAAGATGGACAGAGTTTGCTTAAGGATGTAGTGATGGATTTATTACCTGAATGCAAAGAGGTTCTCAACCAGAAATTGGTGACTAGGTGATTAACTGTTTTGGTCACCACACTCATGGAATGATCTATGAGATCAAGAGAGATTTGAAATTTACTCTAGTGGAAGGAGTGCTTGCAATGAAGGAAATCTTTTGAAATACTGAAGAAAAAGAAGAAGACGAATATAAGCTTAGAGTTGAAGAACCATGGGCTAGATTTTCCTTTTGCAGGTAATGTACAGTTGAGTGAGACTTTGCCTCAAGAGACAATTACTCAGTGTCTCACTGAAATCAGAGAGACATGATGGCTGTGATGCTTAGTTTTGGTATAGCAAAGTGGCCTGCTAGCACCCTCACTTTGAAGCATATGGGCATTGGACAAATTAGGTTGCTTTAAATTAATAATTATAATACATCAATTTAATAAACTAATTTAATGTAATTAATTATAATGCATTAATAATAATTATAATAAATTAATAAATTAAATCAAAGTTGATAACTGACATTAAAGTGGAAGATGGTATCAACCTATCCATAACTGGTTCTGTTTAAAACTTGCTTCTTTGTAAATTGGTATCTTATAGAGGTCTCATTTTTACTGACATTTTCATCGAGTTCTATCTCCAAATACATCCTAGTGCACAAATCGGACTAAGTCAGTCTCCTGCTTCCCATTGACTAGAGGCTAAAATACAAATGTCAGGAGGCTTGGCATTTAAGGCAGTCTAGAATAGGGCGCCAACTTATCTTTCCAATCTTACTTAACACTACTCACTTTCACATAATAACAATAATAATAATGAGAGGCAGTGTAGCACCATGGATAGAGAACTGGCTTGGGAGGCAAAAAGGCCTGGATTCAAACCCTTCCTCTGAAGTCTGACAATGTGCCTTTGGGCAAGTAGCTTAACTTCTCAGTGCCCTAGGGAACTCCATGACTTGAAGAAAGCTGCTTTGTGGATTAACGGAAGGAGATTCTTCCACAGGAATTCTAATGAAATCACAGATCCTCCCTCTGCACATATTACTAGTAATAGCTCATGTTTATATGTAAAATACACAGAAAGCATTTACTATTTTTATATAACATTTTGTTTGGTCCTCACAACAACCCTGAGAGGTAGATCCTGTTATTACCTACTACATATATTGCAGCCCAATTGAACTTCTTCCTCTTTCCTGATTTCCTGTACTTTCGAGCATCTATGCACATGTACAGGCATCCCACAAGCACAAGGCCTTCCCACAAGCTACCGAAGTCATACATTACTATTTTAGAAAGTCCAGGGACGGACATGGCTTGAAGGAACTAAATGTGAAAAAAGGCCTGATAGTATTATTTGGTAGTAAACTCAATATGAGTCATCAGTGTAAAATAAATGCTTGTTGGAAAAAGTACGATGTCAGCTTGCACTAATGGTAGTATAGTGTGCAGATCAGTACTTGAATATTTAAATCATTATTTTGGCGAATCAATCTATGATCTCATGGGTGTGGGTACTCCCACAACAATCTATCTTCTCTTCCCCTGTGATTCTTGTCCCTGTCCTTTCATAAAATCTTCATAGAATTTACACAATATACTAGATGCTTTGTAGTTATTAATGTCACATTAGACCTGTCCATTTGTTTCCCCTTACCTTTTGTTACATGACTAGCCCCTTTCCTTTTCTACTTATACATTTTAGGATTGCATTATGATACAATTGAGAGAGCACTGGACTTGTGATTCAGAGACCTTAGTTCAAATCCTGTCTCTGTAGTTTTACTGTTTTACTTTCTGTGACCTTGGAGAAGTCATTTAACCTCTTTGCCTCAGTTTCCTGAACTGTAAAATGGGAATCTTGGAGAAGGAAATAGCAAACCATTCTAGTATCTTTGCCAAGAAAACCATATAAATGGGGTTATGAGACACAACTAAATGACTAATAATTTTACTGTATTCTCTACTGTTTAGATTATATCTAGAATATTATCTTTAGTCCTGAGGAAGGGGTGGGGGCAACTCAGTGTCTTTCTAGCACTCTCTGACAGCAGAGGGTGTCTGGCTCCAGTGCTAACAGCCCAACATTTCCCATTCAGGCCTGGAGAAACGAGTGGGGGAAGTTAGACCCAGGCCCTGCTTCTTCTTTTAGTCCCAGCTTTAATACTATCCACCCCTCTCTCTGCCCATTAAGCAAGGAGGAGCAAGTAGAGTGACTAAGGACATGAACTTCTGGCCCTTGTCTGGTAACAACATTACTTTGAGACTAGGGCATTGTATTTCATGTGCTACCCACCCTTATGGCTAATAAATTCTCACTACCTGTTAACTTCTTTGTCTCCTCATTAGTCAGTTAATGGCCATCTATAAACAAACTATTCTTAACTTCTACCTCCTATTCTCTAATTTCCATCCTCTTCATCCCTACCATAACCAAATCCCACTCCAAGCATGTCTATGCCTTCCACAGTGAATACATTTCTTCATTCTGGATTTCTTTCTATCATGCTTCTTTTATCTGTTTGTTCTCATTGAGAACTGGTTCCCTTAAGATGATACTGAATCCTGGCTATCCTCTCTAACACTATCTCTCC